GAATTTCCACCCCCCCCTCCCCCCCCGGGAGGCCCGCCGCCGCCCCCCCCGCCTCCGCCAGCAGGAACCCCGCCGCCACCGCCCCCCCGGCCGAGTAGCGACGAAGCGGCCGACCGCCCTCCGCCCCCGCCCCCCCCCGGGTCGCCTCCCGGCCGAACTAGTAGGCGGGGCGGAGACACACCGCCGCCGCCGCCGCCGCCGCCGCCGCCGCCAAGGCCTGCAAGCGGAAACCCATCGGTTCGGGCGGGTGCGGTAAAGAGGGAGGAGGGGGCGGTGGCTGGGCGGGAGGGGAGCGACGGCGGCGGAGGAGGAGGAGCTGCCTGGGACGGGGTGTTCGAGGAGGGGGGGCAGTGTTATCTGGACGGACAGGTGCGGTGGGAAATTGATCAAATGAAATAGTACTGTCAATGTTGTTTTTTGTTGTGGATGGAAGGGGGTCGTGGCACCCGACCCCGCTTTTTTGCTGTTTTTTTGGGCTATGGTCTCAAGACGGAGGGCGGTTTTGGGCTACAGTCGTCTTCTGGTCGTCGTACTTGGTTGAATCGCGGGAGCGTATTGTGCGACCTCCGTACAGTTTTGAAAAAGCTGTTTGGTGTGCACAGTACATTGTCGAGACCCGTGCGTGCGTTCGCAACTTTGAGGTGGGGAGGAAGGTCCTTGTGTCTGTGGTGGCATGCGTGGTTGATTGGACCTCGCCCTACGGATGCTACAGGTGAAGTCGTATAGTTGAGGTCACAGTCCTCCTTGCCTGGGCCATGGCTTTGCTCCCGTCTTCTCCTTCGTGACAGATTACCGCCTGTGAGACGCAAAACATCTCGACCCTTACCTCCTCCTCTTTGAGTCTTCACGGCAGTCCCTCTCGTCATCCCATACAGGCACATATTTTGTTGCGCTCGCAAGGTCTAAAACCCGGGCCCGTATGTGCTGCCTGTCCGTTTCGTGGCGGAATTCATACCGTTGCCGGCGCAGACGCATCGAGACAAGCTTGCGGTTGATGCCGCCTGCCAGTTCTTCCTGACTTCTGAGGGCCTGTGGGTCGATGCGGTAGTGCTAGCGGTAACCGACTCGGAACAACCACCGCATGACGCTACCGCTGCTGGTGGTTCCTCGGCTGGACCCATCGCTACCACGCGGCGGTGAGAGCAATGGAGTGATTTTTTTTTTGTTTGTCTCCAAGAGGCTGCTAGCAACACCAGGGTCCCGCGCTCTCGTGTCAGCTTCCCCCCCAAACACTGTACATTGTCCGTACGATGCTTGCGTCCCTCTCCGGACATACTATCTCGGGAAAGGGTATGAGTGTGGTTTTTGTGTCCTGACGACCCATCGGGAAAACTACAAGCGTTTCCTATGTCCCTGATACGCGATCAGGAATAAAATGTGCGTTTCATATTCCACGCTCACGATCAAGATAGATCCCCTTCCAGCGTTGGTCTTCGCGATGTGTAAACATGCACATATGCATACGGCTGTGAGTGACGAGGAGAGGCTTGAACGCGGATTGTTCCGCTTTCTTGTTTCGAACTTTTCGGGTTCACTCTGTACGGCGGCGTTTTAGCCCCCCTCTGGAAACTAAAAGTGTTGGTGCCAAGTTGGCTTTTCGAGCTGCAGGATAGGATTTTTCTGCAGCACCATACACATTGTTTCGGGTAGGATACCCCCACAAGAAGAGGTTGTTGACATGGTGTCCAGTTAAGTCATGCCCACCGGTACCGCCCGCCTGTGGTGCATTGGTGCTTTTGCCTTTGTTGGCCATGTTCAGGGAGTTGTCACCGCCCAGCTGCCCCTTGTTCTGACATACCATGCCCCGCCTTGGTGTGCTCTGCCATCCCTCCATGAGACTCTCCGGATACCTGACGGCGCTTCGCGCTAGGTGATGCGCTCGCTTGGTCCGGTGAAAAGCCGGCGTGCTCCGCCCGGCTTTGTAGGACTGCGAAGTCTAACGGCTATGGCATACACTATGAGTACACCCCGCTCCGGCCCGCACCACCCACGCCTTCCTCCGTACAATATAAGGCATGCCCTTGCCGTATTCTTCACATCGTGCCCACCCTCCCCTACCCCACGCGGGCACATTTCAGGATAGACCTGGCCTACTTTGAGGCAGGTGCGGAGAAGGAGACGGTTTTGAGAGGGGTGCAGGCGGCGGCGGTGCGTCTTCCGGCCGGGGAGGGGGGGGCGTGGCCCCCCCCTCAGGAAATGCCTCCTCCACCACCACCGGACGAGAACACCGGGCTAGGGGGGTGGCAGACGGTGAGGAAGGACTATGGGGGTGTTGCCAGTCGTGCCCTTAATACGAAAAAATGAAAAAAAATAAATGGAACCGGATAGCAGTACATCGATCCGAGGGTAAGGGTAGGGTATTTTATGCGACGAACGATGGGAGGAGGTCGACTTCCGCTGCTACATGGTGTATCGAGAGTATGAATCCTGTGTTTGTCAGGTGTTGGTGTTGTTGTTGATGATGACGTACTGTTCGTGGGTTGAACAGCAGTGGTCCTGTGCCGTTGTGCTGCTCAAAATAGTTCACGCGCCCAACGCATTGCAATGCAAAGCATACCAACGAACACCACGGGCGAGACATCTCCAAGCGATGCCCCGCGCCTTGCCGCAAACACCCACCGCGGTCTTCTGAATGAAATGGAGACGTCCACCCCTCCTCATTTTTTGCTTGGCGGCGACAAACAAAACTTGCTCGTTGCACGTATGCCTCCAGGTAAGCGTACGCATGGTGGACGTGGTTGCGGAGGCGGAGACCAGGCGCGTAAAGAAGGAGGTCAAGAAGGCGAAGAAACAAAAACGGGAAGAAAAAACAGAGCGAGAGAAGGTGGGTGTGCGTACGGGGCTCGGCAGCAAGTGCATGCATGCGGAACCTTTGTACTCTCTGGTCCCTTGCCGCTTTGTGCCCTCTGTAATCCTTTCGAAGCCGTGTACAGCCCTCTGTGGAAGGAAGGTCGGTGGGTTCATTGGCTTGGCGCGGTGCAGAGCAGCTCGGCTCTTACTCTCTCACCGATCGCCTCGATTATTGAGACCTCCAGTGTGGTGTGGGCTTTTGGTCGCCCCCCCGGACACTGTGACGGCGTAGTTGCAACCACCCGGTGGTTGGGGTTTGTGTGCAGAGACGTCGTAGCCCCGCCTCCCCACGCTCGCCACTGGCGAAATCGCGTCCGTTCGAGCCTTGACAGCAGTGTTCCTGTCACACCACGCGCGAAACGGTGCAACGATAAAGCGCCACAGCCACCTCAAAATCTACAGCAGTATCGTAGTGACCCATCCCATTGCCCGCCACCGCCGCCGCCGGCCGCTGATTTGCCTGGTGACCATGATTTTTTCCCAACAGATGTTGGTGGAAGCGATGGACGCGGACGATGCCATGGGGTCCTACGACCCGTGGGGCACCGGCAAGTACAAGGGTTTCGAGGTAGCGAAGGATGTTCCCCGCGGCCCCGAGGAGGAGGCGGCGGGCGCCGGGGGTGGGGAGGGCGGTGGACCGGCGGTGTCGTTTAAGAAGAGAAAGGGTCCCGGCAACAGGGGCAAATTCAGGAAGAAGGCCAGGGATGATGATGAGTGAAACGTTGGCGGAGGAGGGGGTCTGCCGGGGGGGGGTGCGGCGTGTGTTCGCCGGGGCCCGGAGGGATTTCCGCCTGGGTGTTGGCGGAGATATGAGCGACACTGCAATGTGAAAGAAGGCAACAATAGTGGGGCGCGTTTTTTGGTGTGCCTGACTGCGTGCGTGAAGGTGAAACGAGTGTCATGACGATTGATTTATCCTCCTGGCCGGCCGTGACAGACCGAGATTTGGAGAGTCCGATTCTGCCCAGCCAGCTCGTTTTCACGTTTTGTGCCCGCGTATCGAGCTGTTGTATTGCAGAAGGTGGGAACCAAGCCCCCGTTAAACAACAAGGCCGCCACGCTGGGCGATGGACAGCATCCAAGCACAACTTGTCCCAAGTAATGGATTCCGACTGGGGTTACAACTCACGAGATGGCGGCGTTCGTCGACCGAGCCTGCGAGAAGCGCTTTTGAGGACCGAGCTTTCCGTTTTTTTTTTTCCAACTGCCTTGTACTGGTACAACTGACTGATTCACCTGTCCATAGACCCTTCCAGAATGAAGTAGCCGTGACCGCTCACTGCCGAAAGCTCACGTGCGAAGCACAAGTCAGGGTGCTAAGATCAGAGTTGGGATGGAAAAAAGGTGAAACCGTCCGTGGAGGTTGTGGCCACGCAACGAAGACCTAACGTCAACGTTCACATGAGATGCCGACAACCGAAAGTTAAGTGTACAACAAATCTAAAGAAATGTTTCGTGGAGTCAACACGCCACGGAAGGATAAGCTTTAGGCTGTTGGGCATTTCCAAGCTCTTGCATGAGAAAAATGACGACACGTGCGGTCTGGCCTCTTGGGAATCTCTGCAGTCGCCCACGCACTCTTCACAGAGGTCGGGATGAAACACACGTACATGAAATCCTAGTGCGGTTCACATGCCGGACGACCTGCGCACGTGCGCCATCTATCCGACAAATCTGACAATGTGCGGATATGCGGTTTGATGGCATGTGTATCCCGCCGGGTTCCTTCCATCCAGTAACTTGCAGAGAGGAGAAGTTTAAAATCATCCTCGTGTGCTTAAGCTACACATTGCGTGCATTGAGTCCGTTGTCTCCTTAGCACAAGCAATGATATACGGGATTTATATGGCGTTACTTCCAAAGATGACAAACGTTCCCTGAACTTCAGCGTGGATGGTGCGTAAGAATGATTCTGCGTTCTTTTGTCAAACTGTGGTTACCGCGATAAGGGCCGGGAGAAGGAATGAAAAAGGCTCAATCAGTGAAATCATTGTCACGACACGACCAAGGCCGGTGGAGTGAAACAGTCCGAAATAGCAAGGAACCAACAAGTAGTCACCTCACCCTACCTAGGTTTTTCAGGCGCACACACGTGAAACTCAACAAGTGACACACCGACGACCGTCTTTTGCTCTCGTTGACAACGCTTTCCCGGAACCTACTGCAGTATACTACAAGGCCCAGACGGGTCAGTCACTCGTCATACGGGTTGTACGCAAGATGTGTTCTACTCGTCCCGTCTTTTCGCAGATCTCTCGACATCATGATGATGTTTTCGTCATTAACGTAACTAGCTTTCGGCGGCGTGAGTTTCTTCGACGATGTGAGTGTTGCCGGTGTTCGTCGCTGAGTGGAAAAGTGGTGAAATCGCCAAACCATCATCACACCGTGACCACACCCCGCAGTGCATCGCTGACTAAGCACATGTAGCAGATGACATCCGTGGGGAGTGCTCTTTCCGGACGAGGCCGAGTCGTCCGTGTCGCTTTGTTGATGAGACGATGAGAAAATGAAAATTTGGGGATGGCGCGTAGCATTTGCTCGTGTGGGATCTGATCTTGTTCGGATGGCGATTTCAACATCTGGACGGCAAACAAACACATCTTACACCAGGTTGAAAACTCGCACTATGCTCATTCATTCTTGACTCCTGGTTGTACTACTACGAACGGTTGGACGGCTGCTCCATGTTGCAAGTCCTGTTCATCCATTCTGCCACCGTGCGGCGAAAGACTTGACGACGGGCCTTGTGCTCGTCGTCGATGAACTCGCGAAAGTTGATCTTCTTGTGCTTCGGTGGGACGGCGTCGCCCATCATGCTTCTTTGCCGTCTTGCCTCTCCCCGCGGCGGTGGTCTCGTAAAGCTGGCGGTGATCCCACCAGTGGTTGTTGATGCGTCTTACCTTATCGTGGCCGATCTTGAAAGTGCTCGCAACCTGCCAGCATAGAGGTCCAGAGAAGAGAAAATATTGCAACATCGTTCATGAATGAGGTCAATTCGCTTGGACATCGTGCAGTGAGACACCGCACATTCAAGCCTGCTCGTCTGGTCTTAAGTACAGTGGTACAATTTATTGTATTCCTGCTGAATCTTTTGGAGTGACGTAGACTGGTGAGTCAAACATGTACCGAACGGCACAGCCTCGCGCCCAACATACATGTGACGAAAACACACACACCACACACACAAGCTACTGCTGCTGTGGTATCGTACACCGCAGCAAAAACAGGGTGTACCGCACATATGGTCCACTTGGACTTCCGATTCACTTTGTCACCCTGCACTTAGGTACACATATCTCGGGGTAGGGGTGGTCGTTCCGAATTTCGAAAACACCGTAAAACGCCCTGTCTCCAGGCGCGGAACTCTACGGAGCGATTTTTTTTTTCATCATTCCTTGAAATATCCAGAATACTTCGTTCGCAATCTGCTGGAGGGTGTACATTTCAGAGAAAAAATCTGAGGCCGGATTTCGGCAGCTCTTGAAAATTGGGAGAAGAGGCATCTTTCCGATTAAAAAAATATCAAGAAATGACGAAGTTATGCCCCTCAAACCGAATCTGGGAGGGCAATCCGTTCGCAATATTCTGGAAGACCCACCCGTTCGATTTAAAAATAGAGTGCGGCAAACGATTCCTCTCGAAATTCCGAAGAAGACCCATCTTTCCGATTTTCATGGAAACGAAATTTCGTGAGATATTCTGTGATTTGGTTGCCGGTGTGAGAGACGCACAGACAGCTCGCACGCACACACACCCACACATCCACTGCCCTACAGAGCAGCACACCAGGGGCCACACACAAGCCCCACACATGCCGCGACACAAGGCAAAGCGACAACGCAAAAGCGGTCGAAGACGAATGGACGATTCACGCCACATGCTCAGGCACCAGCACCACCAGCACCACTCGGAAGAGGAAGGTCGCCTCCAGAAAAGAGGCCCTCCAGCGTTTGGTTTTGAGCAGAGCGATGAATACGTGGAAACAATACAAATAGTCCGTGAAGTCCGTGCTGGTCGTTGGTGGCTTTTATCTGCCCTTTGCATTGACATCACATCCTTCATGTCAAACGATTGTGATGCTTCGGGCTCTTCGCATTTGCTGCCGCTTCCAACGTTGTGTGAGCGTTGCTCTAGCGGATCGCCCTGGAGGCGTCGTGTGTGTGTGAGAATGTATCATGTTCATAACCATGGAAGTGAACATAAGCAGTTCGGTGAAAAATTTCCCGCTTTTTTCGGCTACCGGAGCAGACACCGGTCACGCGTGCTGTCTTCATCACACCACACCTAGACAGCACCAACAGCACCCCAAAGTGCTTCCCAAGGCAACTCCACTACCATGCCTGAGCGTGGGAAGCGTCAAGATCCCAGGGGAATCGCAGCGCAACGCCGGGAGAAGCGCCGTCGGCGAGCTATCGACGAGGAGGATGTAGCCCATGACAAGAGATTCACAGTCTTGGGTCGTAGTAGTGGCGGCGGGCGTCGTGGCAGCAGGAGAGGCTCATCGTGCCCACTGCCCTCAGGAACGGGAGCCCATCTACGAGCCCAAGCGTCTTCCGTGGGCTCAACACGAGGCGGACCTCGATAAACGGCACGGGTGGCGGCGGTCGTACCGCATGGAGAAAGGCAGTTTCCACAAGCTTGTCGAGCTACTCCGCCCTTCGCTGGAAGTCAACGCAGCAGTTCGGCGGTGAGTGTTGATGTGTAGATGCAGCCGCCCACGGCAGGTATGCGTGATGAGGGTTCTTCTGGGTGTATTTGTAGAAAGCAACGGGGAAGAGCACAAGTCTAAAACATGTGCTGTACATAGACTACTGCTGTAGTCTATGTTCCTGCTGCCTTTTTTAAAAAAGCAACTCGCTCGTCGAACATGCGGCAGCAGGGTACGTACAGCGCAGCAGCAGTATTGTACGATCTACTGTTACAAGACACATACTTGTACAGCAGCGGTCATTGTATGGGTTAAAGGCGGAGGTACTATTCGTGACGCTCACTACTGTGCAGCAGTATTCACAGGGCGTACAGTACACGCCGGCCTCACTAAACAAATACAGCCTCGTCGGGAGCCGATACAAATTGTCGTATCCCGCAATGACACAACAGCTGTCGACACGTGCTCATCATGTGCAAAATGCGTACGTAGGTGATGAACACAGAGCCGTCTCCGTACCGTAGTACATAGGTAGGTGGATTGGGCCGGCAATCTGACGAGTTTGCGGAGAACATGCGCCCCCCGTCGTAGGTTGCTAAACTAGGTGCTGGCGATTGCAAACATGCCCCCTTTGACACTCGTACTTCTGTCCTGAACGACTCACGCTCATCCTGCAAACGTTATCTGCGCGTCGCTCGGAAACCCCACAGCACTGCGATCGCCAACCAACGGCGCCATAGCTGTGGAAGTCCGCGTTGCCGCGGCGTTGAGGATCCTGGCTGGCGGCAGTTACTGGGATGTTGCCCTCATGTTTGGCTTGTCGAGGGCGGTCACGTTCGACATCTTGTGGCAAGTGATCGATGCCATCAACGAGACGCCTGCGATTGGGGCATTTGACTTCCCCCTGACCGAGGAAGGCTGCATGCGAAACGCCAATAGATTCAAGGTGAGACCTAACGGTGGTCAGTACTGCAACTACGGTTATTCTTGGCGGCATTCTTTCGACCAACCGCGGGATATCGTGTATTTTTTCACGTCTGCTGTTTCCAGCCGTTTTAGCGTAGGGA